GGTTAAAGGATGGAGTTGTGGGTCTCTGACCTCACACAGGGCTGGTCAAATCAAGTGGGTTGTACCAAGAAGCTGAATACAAGGGTCTCTGCCTTCACACATGGATGGGAGGGTCAGCATGGAATTTGCATGGGTTGGAAAGCTGGGATGGGTTGCAGTCAAAGGTCTTTGGTTTGAACTTTTAAATACAGAGGCTTCGTGAGACACCATTTCGTGTACGGTGTAAAGCAAAAGACCCATCCCACCTTGATAGAGGTGAAGTTCGTCTAGTCCCACTATAGAAAACCTGAAAACCACCCACTGAAACAGTCTACCTGAGCTAATGGGAGCTCACCAACTCCAGAAGGAACAAGCATAGGACCAAACTAGTCCCTCTGAATGTGGTTGACAGTTGCATGACTGGGGCAGACTCGGGGGCCATTTGGAACCTATTCTCTTTGGATGATACCTTGCTCAGCCTAGTTATAATAGGGAGGGCCTTGGACCTTCTGCAAAGCAATGTGCCTTACCCTCTCTGAGGATAGGATATGGGTGTGAGGTGGGTGGGTATATGGAGGAAATGGGAACTTGCATTGGTATGTATAATGGGAAAAGATAGTTTATTTTCTTTAAAAAAGAAAAAAAAACAAAACTCCATTTACCTATTGAATTACTTTTATCTCTCATCATAATTTCTCTCTCTCTCTCTCTCTCTCTCTCTCTCTCTGTGTGTGTGTGTGTGTGCCACGAAACACATAGATGTATACCATGAGGGCCGGCTTGTTGGGGTTTAAGTCCTGCCCAGTTCCCCACAGCCGGCAAGCCCCAAAGAAATCACACAGAGAGTCTGCATTGCTTATAAACTGATTGGCCCATTAGCTCAGGCTACTTATTAGCTCTTTTAACTTATATTAACCCATTATTCTTATCTATGTTAGCCACATGGCTTGGTACCTTTCTCAGTGGGGCAGTTCACATCTTGCCTCTTTGGAGTCTGGGCAGGAGTGGTGGAGGGAGCTTCCTGCTTCCCAGAATACTCCTGTTCTCTTTGCTCCACCTCTACTTCCTGTCTGGTTGACCCACATATACTTCCTGACTGGCCAATCAGTGTTTATTTAAAATATGATTGACAGAATATAGACAATTCTCCCGCATCAAAGATGATTTGTTGGAATTGGTTCTCTTCATCCCACATGGGTCCTGAGGACCAAGCTCAAGTTACCAGGCTTGGTGGCAAGCACCTTTATATACCACCAAGACTCTATTTTGATTGGTGTAACTTTTTTTTTTTTCCTGAAACAGGGTTCTTCTGTGTAGCTCTGGCTGTTCTGGAACTTGTTCTGTAGTCCAAGCTCATATCAAACTCAGAGATCCACCTGTCTTTGCCTCCCAAAGTGATGAGATCAAAGGCATGTGCCTCCATACTGGATGACTGCTGTAATTTTAGAGTAAGTCATAAAAAATACGATCCTCCACTTTAGGGACTGAAGAGATTGTTCAGTGGTGAGGAGTACTTGCCTCTCACTTTTCCAGCACCCACATGGTAGCTCCAGATCCAGGGAAACTAACGCCTTCTTCTGGCTTCCACAGGCACTAGGCAGTCATGTGGTGCACATACATACATGTAGGCAAAACATCCATGCAAAAAGATGTACATAAATCTTTTAAAGAAAGATTCACCTTAACTCTTTTACTTACGTATTCAAAATCAAATCAAATATTCAGTAGTAAATATTCAACAATGGACATATCAAGATCCTTTGTATTTCCATACTTTTAGAATAAATGTCATATTCTATTTTCAACAACCCCTGCCTCCACCACACACACAATCTGTGATTTTTGATCTGCACTGACTTTAACTGATTATGGAGAAGAACTAAATGGCAAACCTTAATGTTAACAATGAGACTTTGTCCACAACTTTTAAATTTTTCATAGCAGTATTAAAAATCTCCAGTGGAGAGGCCCTGTATATCTTTACATTTGTATTTAAATGTAAATATTTGAGGACATCACTGCGATATTTTCAATCTTTACTCCCCAGTTTCTTATTGTTAGTATGGGGAAACTGTAGAGGCATTTCAATTGTATTTTAATAAATAAAGACTTCCTGAAGAGCTGAGAGTAAAACAGTCCTACTGGTCAGCCTTACAGACCAGGTTATGGTAACACACACCTTAAATCCCAGTAGTCACACTAGTTTTCATAGCATTCGGGCAGTGTATGCCTTAAATCCCAGTGGTGCACGCCTTTAATCCCAGGCCTAGAGAGGAATATAAAATGGGGGGGGGGAGGGGGCAGAGGGAGACAGCTCTCAGACACAATCTCAGATCTGAGATTCCTGGAGGCAGGATCACCATTTCAGACTGAGATCAAGATAAGAGTCAATGAGTCAATGGCTGGTTGCTTTGCTTTTCGGATCTTCAGGTTGAACTCCAATTTCTGACCCTGAGGTCTTTGTTTCAACTTTTTAAAATTGATTTTTATTGAGCTCTACATTTTTCTCTGCTCTCCTCCCTGCCTCTCCCCTCCCCTCTTCAACCCTCCCCGCAAGGTCCTCATGCTCCCAAGTTACTCAGGAGATCTTGTCTTTTTCTACTTCCCATGTAGATTAGATCTATGTAAGTCTCTCTTAGGGTCCTCTTTGTTGTCTAAGTTCTGTGGGACGGTGGTTTGTAGGCTGGTTTTCTTTGCTTAAGTTTTTAAGTTCATGCTTCAGGAGATATACCGTGATGTATTATTTTTGATGTTGTGGAACAAATGGCATACTAGGCAGATACCATACAGAGCTATGGCCTCAGCCCCACTCTGCTCTTTGAGGAAGCACTCCACCACACTGCTGCACAAGATTTCAATGAGGTTGATCACATGACTCAGTTCAGGGACCACAACAAAATATCACAGGCTGGGGGTAGGACGCTTAGCCAGCAAACATTTTCTTAAGAGTTCTAGATCAGAATGTCACAAGTTTATTTTTTATTTCTGAGAGCTGTGAGGGACAATCCATGCGCCTGTTCTGGCTTCCCATGACAGCTGGCAATAATTGGTCATCTACCTTCAGCGATGTCCTTGGGCCTGAGTCTCCACATGACTCTTAGTAGTTATACTGTTTCGTAGGTCCATCCTACAATAGAACTTATCACCTCATTTTAACTAATTATATCTGCCAAATTAATTACATGCCAAGATGTCCAGACCATTTTTGGGGGGAACACAATTCAGCCCACAGCATCATCTCGGTTCCTTCAGTGGTGTATTTTCCTTCGCCCCACACATGAATGTCTTACCATATACCTGGACTTACCACAGGTGTCTCTCAAAGAGCAGTGAATATTGCTATGGTATTTTTGTTTTTACTTATAATGTAGAACAATGATGGGAATTAGTTAAAAGTTCATTGACCATGCTTGCCAGGTCATTAGGAATATGAAATCTCTTAGTAATATCTGAAGATGACAGGAAGAACTTTATTTCAGGGCTAGAGGTAGAACTCTAGGAGCTCCCACACCACACACTAGTTAAGTGAGCTACACTGCCAGCTCACAATAGGGTCACTCATTCTGTATGTAGCCCAGGCTGCCCTGGAACTCATAGCAATCCTCCTGCTTTGGACTTCTGAGTGCTGGGATTACAGGAATGAACCGTCCCACTCAGTTTGCATTTTTGATATTTTTTTATTATTTTTAACTATGTGTATTTCATGTGTGGCTGTGTGTGTACACATGAGTTCAGGTGCCTACAGAGGCCAGAGTTATTGAAGCTGTAGTTACGGGCAGTTGGATGCCTGATGTGGGTACTGGGAATCAAACTTGGGTCCCCTGCAAGAGCAGCAAGTGTTTTTAGCACAATGCTGCTGTGCCATCATTTCAGTTCCGTGGCATGTACTTTTCAATAACCGTAATCTCAAAGGCATCAATATGGATAGCACTGGCACTGACACTGCTTTGAGGAGGAACAGGAACTTCAGCAACATCAGCAAACAGACTGGTTAACAGCAAGGTCTCTAGAATAACAAGGGTCCACAGTGGACATTCTCAGACTGTTCTACAACGGCTTTCACCTGCACTTCCCTCTGCTAAGAGACTCTCACACTTTGACAATTTTGAATACTCTTAAGAGTGGATTAATTTGGAGCCAGGAAAATGGTTCAGTGGGTAAAAGTGCTTTCTGTACAAGCTTGATGATCTGTTTGATTCTTGGAGCCCCATGGTGGAAGAAAATGGATTCCTAAAAGTTGCTGCTTCACACACACAAAGTGGCACTCGCACATGAACATCATACATGAACACCATACACATACCTATACACAAATAAATAAATAAACCCCTACCCATTTTTATTCATTTTTCTATCTGCACTTAAGACATATTTTCTGTTTCATGCCAATCCCAACCACAATGAACACAAGAACAACACTGCCTACACAAATCTTATACGCCCTCTCCTGGCTGCTTCTGTAGAGCGGCCTCCCTTTAAACATTAACCATCTACATAGAAGCTTAATCTGGATTTTTTCCTTCTCTGTGAACCTCTTTCTGCCTTCTTCCCAGGCTATTCCATCTGTATGACACTGTGCCCAAGCATTATATCCAGCTGTTGTTAAGTCCAACTGTGGACAGCAGAATCTCATTTTCAACTTTGAATCACACCTTGCACTCCATGTACAAGACAAGTTGAGACAGAGTAAGTCTTCAGAAAAGCAAATGTCTATTATAACTACAGACATACAACTTTTTCTATAATCAGTGGCTTGTGTTTAACACAATATATTGGACATTTTTCTTTTCTAAATATCAAAAGATGAATTAAATAATGTAGCAGGGCTTTCACCAAAGTCCTAATCATTGAGTAATACTTAAGACTTTCATATATGACGAATAATGCTGTTTGCATTAAAAGATGTACTTTTTAAAAGACAAACTGCCTTAGGAGAGATTCCTAATTATTCCAAAATCCAATTAAATACTGAATCAAATATACAATTATCCCCAATCCAATGGAATATTGAATCAAATATATACTGAATCAAGTATAGTTTTAATTTATAGTTGAAGGACAGAGAAAAGAGGTAGATTTTATTTACCAAAGTACTAATAAAAGTATTTAAAAAATAAGCAGCCCCCAAAGAGGAAATAAAAGCCCATATAAAAATCCAAATGTTCCAAATAACCTTAGTCCTTGACATTTATTACGTGGTAGGAGTGTGCACCCCAATTCATAGCTTAGCAGTAGGTTCCCAGATAATTCATTTCATCATGATCTGAGTTCAGGATTGCTGTCCTGAGACACTGTCAGTGCAGAACAGAGAACAGAAAGAGACAGGCTGTCCGCTGCCCTTGCCTCCCACACTGCCTCTGCAATCAGGAAACGCTTCACTGAAGTACCCAGACCCTAGGTCAAGAATTAATAAAACGTACATCATGTGGATCCAAGCCACAGTGCTGACTGCTTCTTCCCAGAACGAGGAAAGCAGGGTGGCAGATCTTCTGGTATGGCTCCTCAGGGCCCTTTCTGCTCTACTGACAACCCTGTTCCTATCACACTCAGAGCCAGCATTGCTGCTGAGCGTTCAGGTCCTCTAACAGACGAGCACGGCCCTTCAATGTATAGCAGGATCCGTTAGCAACTGAACGGCCTGTAGGAGCACTCAACACTGATTGTGGCTGCACATGAACTCCAGGCTGGAGTCTCCAGCTGGGGAGCTAGTCCTGAAGCAGGCTCCGAGAGATCAGTATCCTCATTACTTCATTGCTACCTGCAAAAGGAACAATGAAGGGTTCAGTAGGAAGAGGGTAGCCATGACTTTAAACTGTAATTATTGTTTCTTTTGTAATTACAAAACAATGACAGTGTAAGAAACAGTATTTACATTTGCTGTTGTTTGGTTTGAGACTGGGTCTAAAGTAGCACAGGCTGTCCTTGAACCAGATATATAGTTGAGGATGACCTTCAGCTTCTGACCTTCCTGCCCTCACCAGTGTTAGAATTATAGGTCTACAACAACATACCCAGTGATTTTTTAAAATTACATGTATTTATTGTGTGTGCAAGTGTGTGTGTGTCCATGCTATGGTGTGTATGTGAAGGTTAGAGGACAATGTACATGACATGTGGGTCCTGGGGTTCAAATTCAGGTCCTCAGGTTAGACAGTGGGTACCTTTACCAACGAGCCATCTTGATGGCTCAGTGGGATAATACTGACATTTTAAAACACCTCTCCTTATGACAAAAATGACTGTAGTAAACAAGTAAAGAAAAATAGCATAACTCTAATTTTTAAAATTTAATCATACTTGCAAAAGGATAGAAAAAAGTTCAAAGAATTTAACAACAAAATATAAATATCTCCTAGATGTAGAACTAGGAGTCATTTTTTCTTTTACTTTTTGTATATTTTATAGACTCAATAATACATATATCTTTTGTAACCAGAAAACTAAAGCATAAGATAAAACATTTACCTTGAAGGGGGGAATTAATAGCCCACTTTATTTTTGATAGTGATCATCAGTATAAACAAAATACAAAGTAAAACCCTTGCAGAACCAATAATCACACAATCTCAAAGAAAGCCAAATCCAAACTTCCTTGCAAAAGGGTGACATTTTCCTTAAAAAAAAAACCTCTGGAAGTTTAATTTCAGAGTAAGAGCCTGAGGCAAATCAAGGTCAGAGCTCCAGATCGGATAAAAGCAGTCATGTAGGATCAGAACTCAGACAGGGACAGTGGGGCTCAGTCTGTTTCCACACCAGTGACCACAGCCTTCACTTGGCCCACTGGAGCAGAAACTCTGAGGGTGGGACCCAGCAGCCTACTTATAAGTCCTCGAGAAGGAGATTATGGTGCCCACTCAGCTACGACATGAACACTTTGAAGGCAGGGAAGCAAATCCTTACAGACTTCTGTGACCCCAATAAAGTACCCCTACACTGTTTCACGAAGAAGCACAAGAGAAGCTTCCATCCCACACGTCCGCAATCCTGTAACAGCTCTGGCTGCCTACACTAGCCGGGACAGAGCGATGCTACTTCCGGGCAACTGTGTGAGCTGTTAATCAGGCCCAACAAATGTCTGAAGATAAAAGCCACATGCTAGTAACTTTACTAAACACTACTAACAATACTGACATGGATAACATTTAGATAATGTGGCTGCCACACTACTGTTTGGAAGTTCAGGATCCCTGAGGTCCAAGTCTTTTACAACAGTACAAAATAATCACCAGGGCACTTTCCAAGACCGCTCACACACTAGTTTGGTTTGAACCTTCTTTGACATCTACAAAAAGAAGTGGAGTGAAGCTTCACTCATGAGCATAAAGCAGCATCTCCTGGCTCCCAGCTTGGAGTGTTTTCTGATGTAGCAGCAGACCAATTTCAGAGAAGGGTTGAGGAAAGGAAGAACTGAGAAAAAGACAGAGGGCCTGGCAGGATCCCAGCTCAGAAGTACGGAGACAGGTTGGGGAAAGCGTAGCAGGAGAATAACTCTGCAAAGTTTTACCTTCTAGGATTTGGTGGACCCTGGCGTCCCTCATATACTGTTGGACAGCATAATCCTTCAGGTAGCCATAACCCCCATGCATCTGCACAGCCTGGTTACAGATCTGCTGGGAGACAGGGAAGAGATGTCTTTGGTCCCAGGAAGCCTGTGGAGTACTTGGCTCCCCTCCCCACTCCGAACCTCAGTCTGGCAGTCTGCTATAAATGGACGAGAGTATGAACGGGGCCCAGGAGAAGCTCCACATTCTAAATGGTCAGACACAAAGGCCATCCTCCTACTGAACCAGTCAAACAAGGCACAAACATATGCCTTTCTTCTTCAGGCTGTTCTGGAGGCAAAGCTGCCTACAACCCCTAGGACTGACTGATTATAGGAAGTTCAGGCGCCACCTAGTGACAATATAGTCTCAGCGTGGAAACAGCTCCGTGCCTCACCAAGAACATACCCGAAAGCAGAGTCTTATTGACGCATTAATGTCATGGAGAAGGCCACAAGGGCAGCAGGGAGAGCTCCACTGCAGGTCGTTCACAAATTCATTTGTATCCTTAAGCCCCAAAGTGATTCCTTCAGTGCCTTAGGAGGCGAGGGTTCTATAGATGACTCATTCCTCTCAAAGTTCCTAAGCAGAACAGCTCTTCCTGTCTCTGCCAGAAAGGCCGGAAGACTTGTCACTTACAGTAAAGCATTCCTCTGTAGCAAAGAGCTTGGCCATGGAGCACAGGACCACTGCGTCTTCCCGCTCCTCCTGCAAAGCCACTGCTGCCCTGCGGATCATCATCCGAGAGGCAACCAGCCTGGTGGCCATGTCTGCTAACTGGAATTGCAGGTACTGCAGCCACAGCAGAGAATGAACCAAAAAGGCCACATGGGTTTAGACAGGTCATCTGGGATTTAATCTAGAACCACTGATAAGACAGCTTGAGCTGGCAAGCTGGCTCAGCAAGTAGAGATACATATACATTCACCAATGTAACAATCTAGTTCTACCCCAAGGTGATCCCGTGGGTGGCAGGAGAGAACCAACACCTGAAACTTATCCCCTGACCTCTACATCCACACTATGACCTGCATACAATTGCATGCAGGCACACATCCATACCCCCCCCCCAACACACACATAAGCATAGATATCTCAAATTTGGTGCCTTTTCTAAGCACATCAAAGTCTCTTGTCACTTCTAAAGACGCCTGCTTTGTTCACTCTTGAAAAAAAGACACAGGTAAATGTACAACATACATTCTGATTAAAACAGCGTAAAGTTCTTCATGGAATATCAGTCCCACCCAATTCTGCCAAGAATGGGGGCCCAAGGGAAGATCTCAACAGAGCATGAATGTAGAACCTAGCTGTCTTACCTGGTTTCTGGCTAGAGGCGCTCCAAACTGCTTCCGGACCTTGAGGTGCTCTTGGGTAAGGAGAATTGAAGCATGAGCAGCCCCAAGAGAGCAGGATGCTGGAGGGGAGGAGTAAGGACTTCATCTGAGCCTGAATGCCAGTGCCAGCCTCGGCCCTTGCCCTCCTTCCCCAACTCCTTTCTGGCCTCACCAACATTGATCCTTCCGCCGTTCAGTCCTTTCATGGCGATGAGAAAGCCCTGCCCCTCGCTCCCAATTCTGTTGGCCACAGGGACAGCACAGTCTTCGAAGATCACTGCTCGGGTTGGCTGTGAGTTCCACCCCACCTGGCAAAAATCAGGGTCTGGGTGGCTGCCCAACAATTCCCCAAGCAGGGATGCCTTCCCTGTGGACAGAAGCCTGTAACGTATGGATGCCAGCACCCTGGCACTTAAGCCCATAAGAACATCAAATAGAGAAAAAAAGCTCAGATGTGAAGGTTTATCAACACTTAGAAAGATGCTTATTTCAGGTAAGCAGAGTTTTGTTTATTTTTTAACATGGTCCTTTTTTTACTCTGTAGTCCAGGCTGACCTGTAGTGTGTTCTTCCTGCATCAGGTTCCAAGGGCCCGGATTATTAGGTGTGAGTCACCTGCCTGGCTAACACGGTGCAACATATTACACAAATCTACTTTGCGTAATCTATCTACAAATACTTCTCACTTCCTGCAGGATCAGGACCAGATCCATCCTCAGTTTTAGTGTCTCTATGAGTACAACTTCTAAGAGAGATTATTTGGAAAAGTTTACTTTTAGTATATGTGAGCACACAAAGCAAGCACGGAAAGTTTACTTTGAAAGGCTGTGAACAATGAGCACACTTCTCCTTTCAAAGGCCTAGTGCTGTAAGCAGACAAGATAAATGACATGCGGTGTACTGGAGAGCCCTGATCTAACGTTTAGCTGCAGTGAGACTCGGTAATGTACGGGCAACTCGAGTTAGCCAATTCCACTCCTTTTTCTAACTTGGCATTCTATGATCTGACTGTGGTGGTTTGAAAACAGCCACTGAATTAGCAAATGCCACAAATATAAGTTTTTTGTTTTGTTTCTCCAAGAAAAATGTCTTACAAGAACATTACTGGATATGTCAGATGTAAGTCCAGAAAAACTTCAGAACACTTGAAATGCAGCCTCTGTCGCAGATCTACCTGGTCCACCAGCCACCTCCCAAGTCATGACATGGAGACTTATTATTAGTTTTGAATGCTCGACTTACACAGGCTCATGTCTGGCTAGCTCTTTTAACTTAACCTGTTTCTTTTTATTTACCTTTTGCCTTGGGGCTTTTTACTTTTCTTCCCTTCTGCTATCTTACTTTCACTGTTATCATGTCTGCCGTCCAGTGGTTGTCATGGTATTTTTCTTTTGCTGTGAGGAGTCACCATGACTAAGACAACTTATAAAAAAAAAACATTTAATGTGGGGCTCACAGTTCCAGAGGAGTTAGAGTCTATGACAGTCATGAACTTACATTCTGGTCCAAAGGTACGAGGCAGAGAGACCGCTAACTAGGAACGACTTTTAGGACCTTTGAGCCAACCTCTAGTGACACACCTCCACCCACAAGGCCACATCCCCTAATCCTTCCCAAGCAGTTCTGCCAGCTGCTGACCAGGACTCAGATGTAGGAGCCCATGGGGCCATTCCCATTCAGAGGCCTCTCACGTTCCTCTTTTTCTCCCCGAGACTGGGTCTCTTACTGACTCAAGCACATGGGTTGACTAGACTGCCTGGCCAGGGAGCTACGGGAATCTGCCAGTGTTCCTCCATTTCCACACACACACCCCTGGCAGATGTGTGTGCAGCAACACCTGGCTCCTTGCATGGGCACTGGGGATGTAAGCTGAGGACTTCTTGCTTGTGTGGCAGGCATTTTTCCCCACGGAGCCATGAAGGTGCATCCTTCTTACACTAAAGATCTCACAGGTGTGAGGAGCGGCAGCTATTCATAGTTTGCTTCCTTAGAGACAAGACTTTCTTAAGGTCAAAATGTTCACATGCATTCTTGCTCTCAGAGGTCTGTATTCCGTTTGAGGAGATGAAAGACAGAGGGAGCCATCATACAGGGTGGTATGAACTTACCTGTATGGAATACAGTATGGGCTGAATACTCGACCTTGCTCTTCTACCTTAAATTAACCCATTTCAGACTTTGGGTAGAGACTACAGGAGCTTAAAAGAGGACAACTTCTGATCCAATTTGTTCAGCTTTGGTTCTCTGAGACTGGATCTCATGGAGCCCAGATTGCCCTCAAACTTGCTATGTAGTGAAGAATTGCCTTCAACTCCTGTTCCTCCTGCCCCTGTCCCAAGTGCTAGGTTTGAAGGCAGGCACCACCATGCCTGGCTACAAGTTTTTATGCCAGGAAATGATGTAAAAGCTATGTTTTCCAGGAAGGGGGGAAGCTCAGATATTGTGTATGGTTGATGGTGTTCATGAGTTGCCTTGCTGAGCCTGAGGTTCCCTTGAGTTTCTGGGTACCCTGATGAGGAGCTAACGGGGATGAAGCAGTGCAATCTTTTTATTTACACATGAATCATTGGAACAGGACTTTGCTAAGAGGACCTACAAACTTTCAACTTTGTGCTTTTATGTAGGAAACAAAGGTCATGAAGAAGTCAAGTGACAAACTCATTCTTCCATATAAAGCCTCTTAATAACTAAATCCAAGATAAAGTAATATAATTACCCTCCTATAATACATAGAAGGTTAAAAACACTCATCAATATTAAGTAATGCTAACTAAAAGACTCCAGCCCCTATCTTGCTCACTGCAATCCCACCCATACACACCAAAATGCTTTTTTGCTTCTGAAATTAGGCAACTATTTGTATTGTTACAATTTCGGGATGTGTGTATCACACGTACCCTGGGCTGGCCTAGTACTTGCGATCTTACTGGCCCAGACTTCCGAATGCTGGAATCATGTGTGCACCACCATGCCCAGCTGTAGATTCCATACAGATAAGTCCAAACAGGGCGAGGAATGGCTAAGGATCACTGTGGGATATTTGTACACCGTGTGAAGATGTATTGCTGTTATTGGTGTAATAAAAAGCTGAACAGGAAGCACAGGCAGGATTTCCAGGGTGAGAAAAGAAGAAAAAGAATATAGACACTCAGGGATGCCAGGAGACATGAAGAGGAAACAGGATGTGCAAGATGGGAGAAAGGTAACACCATGTGATAGAACATAGTTATAAGAGCTAGTTAGAAACAAGCCTAAGCTATAAACCAAGCTTTCATAAGTAATAATAAGTCTCCATGTCATTATTGGAGAGCTGACTGGTGGAACAGAAAAAGACTCAGTACAAAAGATTCCGTATCACCCCAGGAGACAACATAGCTTTGAACACCTTAGGCATCTAATAACCTGTTATGCTACGGAGGCACTAAAACCTATCTATATCTAATCTCTTGGTAGTTGTTAAGAGCTGAAGAAAGATCTGGAAGCCTTGTGTAGATACAGGGAGTGTACTAGTCATTTCATACCTGTCTTATCTCCAAAAGTCCTAATCCAAGGACAACTTTTGATCAATCTGTCCTAAAGAAAAACTCAGTGAGTTCTATCTTATCAGCAATTAGAGTACCACAAGTTTCCTGCTCGGGGCCTGCACATGGGATTTCTTAGTCCTAGGAATATCTTATTTTTCGATGCACTTACGGAAACAAGTTCTTAGATGGCTGAAACACCTACAGCCTCTCCCTGTCAATGAGTATTTTATTTTTGCTTAGAGAAGAGAAGTGTCCTGAGACTTCTGACAAGCATCCGGACTTTTGTAACTATCTCTTTCTGGGATAACAAAGTGTGATGGAAGCTGAGTAAGAAAGACAGGATAAGGACTGAGGAGATGGCTCAATTGGTAAGGCGCTGGCTGCGCAGATGGGAATCTGAGTTCAATCCTCAGTACCCACAAGGGAAGCCGGGTGCAGCTCGCAAGGTGGTGACAGGAGGATCCCTGGCGTTTACTGGCCAGCCAGTGTCACTGAAGAGGTAAGTTCCAGGTTCATTAGGAGACGCTGTCTGGTCAGGCATGAGGGCAAAGGGAGGTAGACCTCGGGGTGTCTGAGACCAGCCTTGTCCTCACAGACAGAAGAGCCAGGGCTACACAGTAAGACCGTGCCAAACAACAAGAAGAGTAAGGTAATTAAATCTAATTAAAGGAGACCCTGACCAAAAAATAAGGTGGAGAACAAGTGAGGAAGCCATCCAACATCAACTCCCCTCAATACAAGGACATAAACATACAGTACAGAAAGAGAGACAAAAATACAGAGCAAAAGTGGACACAGGAAAAAAAGAGAATCTAAACAGTAGTAGCAGCGTATGAAACTAGATGGCAAAGTTTGTCCTTTCCCAGGTGTGTGCTTCTTTAGCAACAACCGATCTGCTACCTATTCCATGAAAGAGGCAGGAGTTGGTCTAACAGATAGCAGAGACTCGTTGGATTGCTTACAATTGAGTAGCCACTCACCTTCTTCTCCTTCTTGCCAAAGCTAAGGCCAGGGGTTCCCTTCTCAACGACTATGCAGGAGATGCCTTTGGGGCCTGATCCTCCAGTCCGGCACATGACCACATAGATGTCTGACTCACCACCCCCACTGATAAAGGCCTGTGGGTGGAGAGGGGGTGCATGAGTTCTGAGCCTGACATCGGGGAAAACCACTGGACCACTCCTGAGACAGAACAAAGGCGTAATGCACAGAATGGGGTAAAAGGTGAACGACTTTGGCAGTGCCTACAGAATCGGGGATTTAGTTTCTAAGAATCTAACGACAAAAATGCGTGCCGTTGTGTAGAATCGGAACATGAAAGATAACAGTGAGAGTCTCGCCCCAGCATGTAACCATGTGTGGGAATGCTAATTCAGACTCCAAGGGTTCGAGGGCTATGAAGGCGTATGCGGGAACAGCCCCTGGTTGCCCTGGGAACGCATGCTCTTACCTTGGAACCGTTGAGGATGTAATGATCTCCTTGTCGTTTGGCTGAGGTTAGAATAGATGCAGCATCACTCCCACTTCCTGAAGTAGGGACCAAAAGGGAACAAACAGGGGCGTCAGCCAGCGATGTCAAAGCAGCTGAGCACAGTTCCGCATCCTAGAAATCTTCCTCAGATAGGTCATCATGCACTAGCTTAAAATCCCATGGCCAAAGAATCGTCCACACTGGGTAAAAACTGCTTGTACAGTAGTTCACTGTCTCCCTACTAAACCAGTTAGCAGTGGTGTGAAGCCAGGAGGAAGTCTGACCTAACGGTCCCAGGGACCTATATACTACTCCACAAGCAAATGCTTGATAAGCGGACTATGTGCCGACGGCCGAAGTTGCTCACTGAACACGCAGGCTCCACTTCTCTCCTTGCTAGGTGTCACTTGCAGGGAGGATGAACGCACCTGGTTCAGTGAGGCAGTAGGAAGCAAACTTCTCCATGGTACAGAGCGGTGGGCAAAATTTGTGCCTCTGTTCCTCATTTCCAAAGCTATCAATCATCCAGGCACACATGCTGACAAGAAAAGGCATCGACAGAAATAAAGACAGAAAAAAGAATTAGGCGGAGAAGGGTGGGGCGGGAAAAGAAACAAAGGGCCACAAAGCAGAATGAAAGCAGGAGCGTGTGGGAGAGGAAAAGAGACAAATGAGAAGATTCAACTTGAAAGAAAGGGACTGATTTAAAATCATTACTGGAATACTTATACCTGAGGCCCAGATGTTTCTCAGATTAATGAGTCCTAAAAACCAGAGATCAATGTACTTCCTATTATTTCTCAAATTACTGGACGTTTGGAGAAGTCTGCTGGTACCAAAACTGGGACTTGGGAGGTCAGCAGGACTGATCCCCTAAGTTCTAATATAGAAGACAACAGAACCAACCCAGCAGCCAGCTGCAGACCTACTGTGTACCAGTAACAGTCCAGTTTCTCAAGTACAATCAACCCAACACGATTCATCTTTTTCTCCTGAGTCTCAGGTTTTCGTACCAGCCTGCGTGAGTCGAGCCCTCCACCATGCTTTTGGGTGTGGACACTCACTTGTGGATGCTCATATAGGCAGTGGTGCTGGTGCAGCCTGTGGCCAATGCTTCAAAGATGACAGAAGCATCGAGGCGGGACAGTCCAGACCCACCCACGTCTGTTTGGACGTAGACCCCCGCAAAACCCAGCTGTGCTGCCTTCCGCATCATATCCACAGGGAACAGCTCCTATAGAAAAGAGAGCAAGGCAGTAAGGGACTGGTTCTGAGACAGATTTTCTTCTAGAGGGGACAATGGAGGGATGAGGATGTTTGCATCTGGGAGATTATAGGAATTCTCCTGACTTCAAATACCCTTGTTATTTTATAGTGGTCTCAGTTAACATGTTCTCCAAATATTTTTCAATAGAACTCTTTTGATTTTATGTGTGTCTAAATCTTTGATAAATTAAGAATGACAAGGGACATTCTACATAATGTCTGGGACGACTTCTAGGAAAAGTCTCTACTGTTCTAGTCAGGGTTACTATTGCTGTGATAAAACACAACGATCAAAAGCAACTTGGGAAGGAGAGGGTTTATTTCACACATACTTCCACGCAACAGTTCGTCATCAAAAGCAGTGAGGGCAGGAACTCAAGCAGGGCAGGTGGCAGGAACCAAACAGAGCCAATGGAGGGGTACTACTTATTGGCTTGCTTAGCCTGTTTTTTTTCATTTTTTTTTTAATTAAGCTATATATTTTTCTCCACTCCCCTCCTTTCCTCCTAGCTCCCCTTTTACACTCTCCCATGGTTCCCACGATCCCAATTTACTCAGGAGATCTTGTCTTTTTCTACTTCCCATGTAGGTTAGATCCATGTATGTCTCTCTTAGGGTCCTCATTGTTATCTAGGTTCTCTGGGATTGTGAATTGTAAGCTGATTTTTCTTTATGTCTAAAAGCCACTTATGAGTGAGCACATATTTGTCTTTCTGGGTCTGGATTATCTCACTCAATATGATATTTTCTAGATCCATCCATTTGTCCATGTATTTCAAGATGTCATATTTTTTTCTGCTGTGTAGTACTCCATTGTGAAAATGTACCACATTTTCTTTATTCTTCGGTTGAGGGGCATTTAGGTTGTTTCCAGGTTCTGGCTATGACAAAGCGGCTATGAACATAGCTGAGCACATGTCCCTGTGGTACGACTGAGCATTCTTTGGTTATATATCCAAAAGTGGTATTGCTGGGTCTTGAGGAAGGTTGTTTCCTAATTTTCTGAAAGATCACCATACTGATATCCAAAGGGGCTGTGCCAGTTTGCATTCCCACCAGCAATGCAGAAGTGTTCCCTTTACTCCACATCCTCTCTAGCACAAGCTGTCATCAGTGTTTTTGATCTTGGCCATTCTTACAGGTGTAAGAAGAAATCTCAGAGTTGTTTTGATTTGCATTTCTCTGATGGCTAAGAATGTTGAGCATTTCCTTAAGTGTCTTTCAGCCATTCTAGATTCATCTGTTGAGAATTCTCTGTTTAGGTCTGTACCCCATTCTTTATTGGATTATTTAGAGATCAATCCTCTGTCCATTGTGGGGTTGGTGAAGATGTTTTCCCATTTTGTAGGCTGTCATTCTTGTCTTGTAGACCGTGTCCTTTGCTTTACAGAAGCTTTTCAGTTTCAGGAGGTCCCATTTATTAATTGTTTCTCTCAGTGTCTGTGCTACTGGGGTTATACTTAGGAAGTGATCTCCTGTGCCAATGCATTCAAGTGTACTTCCCACTTTCTCTTCTATAAGGTTCAGTGTGGCTGGTTTTATGTTGAGGGCTTTGATCCATTTGGATTCGAGTTTTGTGCATAGTGATACATATGGATCTATTTTCATTCTTCTACATGCTGATATCCAGTTATGCCAGCACCATTTGTTGAATATGCTTTCTTTTTTCCATTTGATTTTTTTTGTTTGTTTCTTTGTCAAAAATCAGGTGTTTGTAGGTGCGTGGATTGATAGCCAGGTCTTTGATTCAGTTCCATTGGTCCTCCTGTCTGTTTTTATGCCAATACCAGGCTGCTTTCGGTACTGTAGCTCTGTAGTAGAGTTTGAAGTCAGGGATTATAATGCCTCCACAAGTTCCTTTACATTATAGGATTGTTTTGGCTATCTTGGGTTTTTTGTTTTTCCATATGAAGCTGAGTGTTACTCTTTCAAGGTCTGTGAAGAATTTTGCTGGGCATTGTATTGAATCTGTAGATTGTTTTTTGGTAAGACTGCCATCTTTACTATGTTTATTCTACCTACCCAAGAACATGGGTGATCTTTCCATTTTCTGGTGTCTTCTTCAATTTCTTTCTTCAAAGATTTAAAGTTCTTGTTCATTTGTTTGGTTAGAATTACTCTGAGATATTTTATGCTGTTTGTGGCTATTGTGAAGGATATTGATTCTCCAATTTCTTTGTCTGCCCATTTATCATCCATGCAAAGGCTTACTACTGATTTTTTTTTTGAGTTAATCGTGTATCCTGCTATATCACTGAAGATGTTTCTGAGTTTTAGAAGTTCCTTAGTAGAATTTTTGGGGTCGTTTATGTATGCTATCATATCACCAGCAAATAGTGAGAGTTTGACTTCTTTTCTGATTTGTATTCCCTTGATCTCCTTTTGTTCTCTTATTGCTCTAGCAGTAGACAATAACATTGTCTTGTTCCTGATTTCAGTGGGATTGCTTTGGGTTTCTCTCCATTTAGTCTGATGTTGGCTGTTGGCTTGCTGTATATTGCCTTTATTATGTTTAGGTATGTTTCTTGAATCCTGCTTTGTCCAAGGCCTTGATCATGAAGGGATGTTGTCAATGGCTTTTACAACACAGAATGAGATAATCATGTGTTTTTTGTTTTTTTTTAATTTCAGTTTGTTTATACGTTGATAGATTTTCATGTTGAACCATCCCTGTATCTCTGGGATGAAGCAAACTTATCTTGGTGGATGATTTTTCTGATGTGCTTTTGGATTACGTTTGCCAGTATTTTATTGAGTATTTTTGTATCGATGTTCATGAGTGAGATTGGTCTGTAGTTCTCTTTCTTAGTAATATCATTGTGTGGTTTGGGTACCAGGATAATTGCAGCCTAGTAAAGAGTCTGGCAATGTTCTTTCTGCTTCAATTGTATCAGCCTGATTTCTTATGGAACCCAGGACCACCTATCCAGAAGTGGAACCATCTACATGGGCTGGTCCTCCTACATCAATCACTAATTAAGAAAACACCTGAGTCAGAACAAGAGACTGCTGAGGGTCCGGATGTGAATCTAGGACCGTCAAGGGAGTAGACCTAAACCAATACCCTGGTGGGTCTGGGCATGAGTCTAGGACCTCCCAGGAACTAGGCCTGAGCCAGGACCTCTGACAGTCTGGGCATGAGTGAACCTGGGTCCTACAAGGGAATAGGCAGGAACCAGAGATCTTGGCGGGGCCAGGCGTGAGTCTAGGACCTCAGAAAGAGTAGGCCTAAGCCAAAACCTATGTGGGTTCAGGCATTGGTCTGGGACATCAAAGGGAATCGGCAGGAACCTGGAACATCTGTAGGTTCGAGCACGTGTCTGGGACCTCTGAGGAAGTAAGCAGGTTGTCTGTAGGTTCTGGCATACCCGAGCCTGGAACCAGAAACCTTTCCAGGCCCAACTCCCGCCCAGGGACTTCTGCAGGAGGGAATCCAGACCAGGATTTATGGACACAGGACAAAGCCAGCTAGGCCAAAGTCTCCCTGAGGCAAGGAACTCCACCTTGGGCAACACATTCCACAGGAGTGGGACTGAAAGAGTCACCTAGGACAGAGAGGGCCTGGGAAAATAAACTCCACCAGGAGCAGAAGCCAGGAGCAAATCCAGTCCTGGTAGCCAACCCAGTCCCAGAATAATGGCGGATAAGGATTGAGCCAGCGACAAATCCAGAGTCAGTGATCTCCACCAGAACAGGTCCAACTCCAAGCCAGGGACTTCTGCAGGAGGGGATCCAGACCAGGATTTACAGAAACAGATCAAAGCCAGCAACCTAAGCCAAAGTAGGCCTGAGACAGCAAACTCCAAGGGACCAGAGCAAAGCACAGGAGCTCTGAGCTAAATCCAGGAACATGGAGTAACCAATGGGGTGACTAGAACTGTGACACTGACTGTACCATGAGGAAGAACCATCTGAGCTTTGAATTCACTGGCACCTAGAAGATTATTCAACAGAATCTCAGACAGCCCCAACAATACCTATTAGAGGGAAAGATGAGTAGAAAAGGTAAGATCACACGCTATACCACAAAGAGCAACACAATATCAGTAAAACCTAAAGACCCTACAACAGCAAGACCTGAACAACCAAATATGGATGAACCAGAAGAAAATGACCTAAAAAATAACTTCAAGAGAATGTTTGAAATTCTTAAAGAGGAAATGAGAAATTCCCTTAAAGAAATGGAGGAAAAGGCAAAAAAAAAAAAAAAAATTGGAAGATATCAGCAAATCACTTAAAGAAAACCAAGAAAAAGAAATCAAACATAGGGGGCTGGTGAGATGGCTCAGTGGTTAAGAGCACTGACTGCTCCTCCAGAGGACCTAGGTTCAATTCCCAGCACCCACATGGCAGCTCACAGCTGTCTGTAAATCTAGTTCAAGAGAATCTGACATCATTATACCAATATGCATGAAATAAAGTTAAATGAAGTTAAAAAAAAAAGAAATCAAACATATAAAGGAAACTATCCAGGATTTGAAAACCCAAATAGAAACAATAAAGAAAACACAAGCTGAAGGAATTATAGAAACAGAAATTATGAGAAAAAGATCAAAAACCACAAACACAAGCATGAACAGCAGAATACAAGAAATGGAAGAAAAAATCTCAAGCACTGAAGATACAATAGAGGAAATAGAGTCACCAGTTAAAGACAACATTAAATCTCACAAAATATCCATGAAATATGGGACACCATGAAAAGGCCAAATCTTAGAATAATAGGTATAGAAGAAAGGGAAGAAGTTCAACTCAGAGGCACAAAAAATTTATTTAGCAAAATCATAGAAGAAAACTTTCCCTACCTAATGAAAGATATGTCTATGAGGATACAAGAAGCTTACAGAACACCAAATAGACTGGATCAAAAAAAAAAAAGAGTCCTCTCGCCACATAATAATCAAAACATTAAACATACACAGTAAAGAAAAAATATTAAGAGCTGTAAAGGAAAAAGGCCAAGTAACATATAAAGGTAGACCTATCAGAATTACACCTGACTTCTTATTGGAGACCATGAAATCCAGAAGGTCATGGGCAAGCATTATGCAGACATTAAGAGATCATGGATGCCAGCCCAGACTAATATACCCAGCAAAACTGCCAATCACTATAGAAGGACAAAACAAGATATTCCATGAAAAATTTAGATTTCACCAATACCTAGCCACAAACCCAGCCCTACACAAAATACTAGAAGGAAAACTTCAACCTAAGGAAAATGGCTACACCAACAAAAAACACAGACAATCGATGATCTCATAACAGCAAATCCCAAAGAAGAAAAAAACCTCACAAATTAACATCACCAACAATGAAAACTAAATGAACAGGAAATAGCAACCACTGGTTATTCATACCTCTTAATGTAAATGTACTCAACTCGCCTATAAAAAGGCACAGGCTAACAGATTGGATATGAAAACAGAATCCATCTGCATACAAGAAACACATCTCAACCTCAAAGACAGACATTGTCTCAGAATAAAGGGTTGGGAAAAAAATATACCAATCAAATGGACCTAAGAAACAAACTAAGAAACAAGCGGGTGTGCTATCCTAATACCTAACAAATTAGATTTCAAGCTAAAATCAGTCAAAAGAGACAAAGAAGGTCGTTTCATATTAGTCACAGGAAAAATCTATCAAGAGGAAATTAAAATACTAAACATCTATGCCCCAAATACAAGGGGACCTTCATATGTCAAAGAAACACTTCTAAAGCTTAAATCATACATTAAACCCCACACACTAATAGTAGGAGACTTCAACACTCCCCTCTCACCACTGGAGAGGTCAATCAGACAAAAGATGAACAGAGGAATAAGAGAACAGATGTTATAACCAAATAGACTTAACGGACATCTATAGAATATTCCAACCAACCAGAAAAGAATATACCTTCTTCTCAGTACCTCCTAGACAATTCTCAAAAATTGCTCACATACTCAGTAACAAAACAAACCTCAACAAATACAAAAAAAAAAACTGGAATAACCCAATGTACCTTATCAGATCACCATGGTTTAAAACCTGAAGTCAACAGCAAGACTAATTCCAGAAAACCCACAAACACATGGAAATTAAACAATGTTCACCTGAATAATCAATGGGCCAAGGAAGAAATAAAGGAGGAAATTAAAGACTTCCTAAAATTTAATGAAAATGACCACACAACATACCCAAATTTATGGGACACAATGAAAGCAGTGTTAAGAGGCAAGTTCATAGCACTAAATGCCTGCATCTATAAAGAAGGTGGGAAAATCCCACACTAGTGAATTAATAGAACATTTGAAAACTTTAGAACAAAAAGAAGCAAACTCACCTAAGAGAACTAGATGGCAGGAAATAATCAAATTGAGAGCTGAACTCAACAAAATAGAAACAAAGGAAACAATACAAAGAATCAATGAGACAAAGAGTTGGTTCTTTGAGAAAAATCAACAAAACAGACAAACCTTTATCCAAACTACCCAAAAGGCAGATAGAGAGAGAATATCCAAATTAACAAAATCAGAAATGAAAAGTGGGGCATAACAATAGACACAGAGGAAAAACAGAGAGGATCATCAGGTCATATTTTGAAAATCTGTACATAGCAAAATTGGAAAACTTAAAGGAAATGGACAACTTTCTGGATAAATATCACTTACTAAAATTAAATCAAGACCAGATAAGCAAATTAAACAGACCTATAACTTCTTAAGAAATAGAAACAGTCATCAAAAGTCTCCCAACCAAAAAAAGCCCAGAACCAGATGGTTTCAGCTCAAAATTCTACAACTTCCAAAAAAGAACTAATACCAATATTCCTCAAATTATTCCACACAATAGAAACAGAAGGAACATTGCCAAACTCTTTTTTTATGAGGCTACAATTACCCTGATACCCAAACCACAGAAAGACATTACTAAGAAAGAGAATTTCAGACCAATCTCACTCATGAACATTGATGCAAAAATATTCAATAAAATACTGGCAAACTGAAACCAAGAACACATCAGAACCATCATCCACAGATGCAGGGATGGTTCAACATGAAAATCTTTCAACGTAATCCATCATATAAACAAGCTGAAAAATAAAAACCACATGATCATCTCATTAGATGCCGAAAAAGCTTTTGACAAAATACAACATCCCTTTATGATAAAGGTCTTAGAGAAAGCAGGGATACAAGGAACATACCTAAACATAATTAAGGCAATACACAGCAAGCCAACAGTCAACTTCAAACTAAATGGAGAGAAACTCCCAGCAATTCCACTGAAATCAGAAACAAGACAAGGTTGTTCACTCTCTTCATATCTATTCAATATAGTTCTTAGGGTCCTAGCTAGAGCAATAAGATAGCAAAGGGAGATCAAGGAGGATACAAATTGGAAAAGAAGAAGTCAAATTCTCACTGTTTGCTGATGATATGATAGTTTACATAAGTGATCCCAAAAATTCTACCAAGGAACTTCTACAATTCATAAACGCTTTTAGCAATGTAGCAGGATACAAGATTAACTCAAAAAAATCACTAGACCTCTTGTACACAGATGATAAAAGGGCTGGGGAAGAAATCAGAGAATCAATACCCTTCACAATAGCCACAAATAGCATAAAATATCTCAGAGTAACTCTAGCTAAACAAGTGGAAAACTTGTATGACAAGAACTTTAAATCTTTGAAGAAAGAAATCGAAGAAGACACCAGAAAGTGGAAAGATATCCACTTTCTGCTCTTGGGTAGACAGAAATAACATAGTAAAAATGGCAATCTTACCAAAAGCAATCTACAGAGTCAACGCAATGCCTATCAAAATCCCAGCAAAATTCTTCAAAGACCTCGAAAGAACGGTACTCAACTTCATATGGAAAAGCAAAAAAACCAGGATAGCCAAAACAATCCTGTACAACAAAAAAAACTTCTGGAGGCATCACAATCCCTGACTTCAAACTCTACTACAGAGCTACATACTGAAAACAGCCTGGTACTGGCATAAGAACAGACAGAAGGACAAATGTAACTGAACAGAAGACCCGGATATCAATCCACACATCCTCGAACACCTGATATTTGATAAAGAAGCAAAAAATATTAAATGAAAAAAAGAAAACATACTTAACAAGTGGTATTGGCATAACTGGATATCAACATATAGAAGAATGAAAATAAACCCATATCTATCACCATGCACAATACTCAAGTCCAAATGGATCAAAAACCTCAACATAAAGCTATCCACACTGAACCTTATAAAAGAGAAAGTGGGAAGTACCTTTGAATGCATTGGCACAGGGAAACACTTCCTGAATATAATCCCAGCAGCACAGACACTGAGAGAAACAATTAATAAATGGAATCTCCTGAAACTGAAAAGCTTCTGTAAGGCAAAGGACAGGGTTAACAAAACAAAATGACAGCCTACAGAATGGGAAACGATCTTCACTAACCCCACATCAGAGGTCTGATATTTAAAATATCAAAAAAAAAAAAAACTCAAGAAATTGGAGATCAAAAGAACACATAATCTAATTAAAAAAAAATGGAGTACAGACCTAAACAGCGAACTCTCAACAGATGAATCTAAAATATCTGAAAGATACCTAAGGAAATATTCAACATCCTTAGTCATCAGACAGGCTGTGGGGAAAAGGGAACACTTCTGTATTGCTGGTGGGAATGCAAGCTGGTACAACCCCTTTGGATGTCAGTGTGGTTATTTCTCAGAAAAGTAGGAAACAACCTTCCTCAAGACCCAGTAATACCACTTTTGGGTATATATCCAAATATATACTTGGATATATATCTTGTGACTCAAATATATCTTGTGGCTTAATCGTGCCACAAGAACATGTACTCAAATATGTTCATAGCAGCCTTGTTTGTCATAGCCAGAACCTGGAAACAACCTAAATGTCCCTCGACCAAAGAATGAATAAGGAAAATGTGGTATATTTTCACAATGGAGTACTACACAGCAGAAAAAATAACAACATCTTGAATTTTGAAATCAATGGAGCTAGAAAACATTATTATGAGTGAAGTAACCCAGACACAGAAAGACAGTTATCACATGTACTCACTCATAGGTAGTTATTAAACATAAAGCAAAGAAAGCCAGCCTACAAACCACAATCCCAGAGAACTTACACAACAATGTGGACACTCACAGAGACATACATAGATCTAATCTACATGGGAAGTAGAAAAAGACAAGATCTCCTGAGTAAATTGGGAGCATGGGGACCTTGTGGGAGGATTGTAGGGGGGAGGAGAGAGGCAGGAAGGGGAACAGAGAAAAATGTAGAGCTCAATAAATATCAATAAAAAATGTAAAAAGAAAACACCCTATAGGTTTGGCTACAGCCAGAGGTTTGGGTACAGCCTTATGGAGGCATTTCCGTAACAGAGGCTCCTCCTCTCTGATGACCCCAGCGTGTATCAAGTTGCTGTCCAGCTCTCCAGCACACCGACCATCAGACTTCACACTTGCAGTAAGGGTTGGTGAGAGGAGGACACGAGCAGTTAGGACTACAAAGAGGGAGAGATAAATCACTGCACAAGGCATTTGCAGGAATTTCTAGCCACAAGAGGACTCCTACCTTCTGATCCCACTCCGCCATATTGGGAGCCATTTCCCGAGCAGCAAAGTCAAAGGCCACTTTCTGAAATCCTTTCTGTTCTTCATTTAGTCCCACGGAAGCTGTGAACAGGACCAGACATATTCAATTCTAGTATGGAGGTGAGAGAAGTGCTTCGCTGACAAGGACTGCCTAAAGCTGACATCAGACCTACTACTGGATTTCCTAGGCATATCCTTTAACAGCAAGAGAACAGGCGATCTATTATGTGTTTCATTGTTTTTGCTTTTGAGATAGGGTGTCCTGTTCTAGTCTAGGCTGGCCTCAAACTTGTGATCATCCTGCATCCAGGACCCAGTGCTAGAATCATGACTACTTTCCCGGGTGGAAAAGGGATAATTTCATCACTTAAACACACCCACATTATCCTAAGGGTCATTCCCAGACATCTCTTCCTCCATCAGTTAGGAAGATAAAAGTATAGCCCCAAATAGGTAGAGGCCTCGGGGAGAGCAGTGAGGAAGAACCAGATGCAAAAAAAAAAAAAAAAAAAAATCAGCGTGTAAGAGAGCAGGATGCATAAAGATACATGCATGAAACATGTATGTATCATGTTTCATGGTCATGAAACACCACTGGAACTCCTTTTAAAGTGTGATTGTATTCCTGTATTCAGTGTGTGAAAGCGTATGTGTGCGGGGGCATGTGGAGGTCAGGACAACTTTTGGGACTCGGCGGCAGGTGCCATTACTCCACTAAGTCAGCTTGCTGACCCACCATTCTTCCTCTCATTCCTAGTGGGTCAACTGCCTTTTCAAAATTGTTTATCTTCGCTTCCTCATAGATCCACTCTTTCTTTAAATGAAGGGCTGGGGATACAATCCAAAGCAAGGGGTTGCCTCATTGATGTCCCTTTTCAAGCTCAGCATTACTAAAGAAACACAGAATCCCTCAAATGGCATGTCTTCTGATGGGCTGCCCCGGCTTTTCCGCATAAATACCTTGAAAAAGTTCCCACACAATCTCTGCCTATCTGGCAGCAGCCACTGTTTTTAACCAGCACACTCATCTTACAACATCAAATTGAGAAATCATAATCTGTGTACTTTGGCGTGCTTCCAGCTAAGGAAGCGATGGAATAATATGGCCATACAACTTGTGGATAACACTGATTTTTTTAAAAAAAAATATATAGCTTTCTTAGGCTGAAATACAATTAAATCCCCAACAGAGAAGTTGAACTCTTAAGAGAGGAAGTTTCCCATCCTAGCCACTAGTGATAGGACTGCGGGTAACTGCTTTATTTTTTTGACTGAGATAAATGGATCTTAGGAGAATTGGAAAAGTGAGGATGATAGACAAGTACGATAGATGAATGGGGACATTTTCTAGGAACTCATAAAACTTACAAAGGCTACCCTGTAAAGGCATCTCATCAGAGGAAACAGAGAGACACTGATATAAATAACCTGGCCCCGTAGCGGTGAAACACAGAATGTGACTCTTACATTCATCCCCAAAGACCACATTTTGTAAGCAAGGTCGGACTGAATTGGAAAGCAGGACTGTCTACCAACTAGCTAGTCTAGAGTACTTTGCATCCTTTCTAAGATGAAGCAGATTTCAACAGAGACAGGGCAGACACTGAAAGCAAAGAACTTAGACAAAACGCTAGTGGAAAGCAGTGACCTTTTAAGACTTGAAACGAAGACAGAACAAATTCCAGGAGCCAGGGCAGGGAAGCAGACCCAGCAAACTGGAGCGGATCACGCAGGCCTACACTGCTCATACCCCTTTCTCTTCCACTGTAAGAACAACTGACTCAGGTATGGAAACTACAGGAAGAAGTGAGTACATGCCTATACTTAGAGACCCGAGGGTGTTGTGATGGGGAGGACACGCAGTTACTCTGTCGTTATGTTTTAAGGGAAGGCCTTTCATCTAAAAAACCTTGGTCATTATGATACTGACGAATACCTAAGATGGGGACATCTGGGGTGGTATGGATGTACACTTAAAGAAAAAGTACAAGCCACTCTGGACAATGAATTACTTTGGAGCCTGCTAGCTATGCCCAGTCCTTGCAATAGCACATTAGTGTTGGCGGCAAAGTCTGCTCCTTTGGGGAAGATGTGGGCATCACTCTTAGTAAAAAGGTAGGTGAAGCATGGTGGTCCACACCTTTAATCCCACACCCAGGGGGCAAAGGCAGGTGCCTCTCTGTGAGTCTGAGGCCCACGGGACCTACATAGAGAGCTTCAGAATACTCAGAACTATAAATAAGACCCTGTATCAAATGGGGTGGGGAGGCAGAACTCAGAAACTAAAAGTTATCAGGATTCTAAAGACCACTTCCCTAAGAGACCCAGAGTAGAAACCTGAGGGTATCACCCTTAGGAATATGGCATGGGACAAAAAAAAAAAAAAAAAAAAGTCACGGTTTTCTTGGGGGGGGTTGATTGACAGGCCATTTTTTTTCATTTTTTCATGCTTTCTTGTACAATGCTGCTATAGATCATAGTTTAACGCTTATCTGCAGAAGGAGGAAGAATACAGCTGAGTGCTAATGCCTTGCCTAGCATGTTGTTTTTTTTTTTTTTCCTCCTAGTACCTGGATCCAACCCATGGTACTAGCAGGGGAAAAAAAAAAAAAAAAACTGTTGCAGTAAACTCACTAAACAACAAAAAACAAAATGGGGCCGGAGGCATACTTCAGCAGCGGGTACTTGTCAGCCACAGCAAATCCCTAAGTTTGAACAACAGTACCAATATCCTTGCACCCAACAAATACCTGAGCAGCGATACTGGTGCTACAAAGATGAATATGGCCCATTCACACACACATGTACACACACACTTAAATGGCAATAATTTAAAGACATTAAGGTATAAAGAAGAGCTGCAGAATTTTACTTTTAGCAACAGCTCCATATAAAGTCTGTCGTTATTTGTTGTGTTTGGTTTGAGTTTTTGAGACGGAGTCTAACTCTGTAGCCCAAGCTACAGAGACTGCCTCAGTCTAGAGATAATCCTCCACCCGTGCTTCTGATGTATTGATATTACAGATATGAGCCACAATATCCTGCTTTAATATATATTAATAAATCTTTATTATATGACCGAAGAAAGGGCTACTTCCTAAAACAAGCCAAGTTCAGGTAACCCGAGACTTAGAAATTCAGAATTTCGTTCTGACTAAAGAGAGTAGTTCTAAATAAGTTATATATAAGTAAATGCAATATGTAACTACATATTCTTATATAACAAATACAGTTGACTTCAGAAACAGAAATGATCAACAGTAGGAAAACATTGCTTAGAGAAAAAAAATGGAGGTGGTAAATAAATAGCAAATTAAAGCCAACATAATGCCATGTTTATAGTCCCAGCACTGGTGCGGTCACAGAGGATCGTGAATTCCACGTGGCAAATTCACAAGAACAGCCTGAGCGTCATTGTGACACCCTGACTCTAAAAAGCAAACTGAAGGAGCTAGGTCCCTAACTCTAGGACTTTCTTTAAAAGGAGTGAAAGAATCTTAGTTGCTCAAGTCAAACCACCACCTACCGGGAAAACTCACATTTTGTTCCTTTGCTACTGGGACAAACTCTTACTAGCTTTGGTCAAGCAGGGAGAATTTATTGTCTAAATAGGGCAGTGCCTTTAAAAGCGATTCTGGTCTTCTAGAGAAAACAGTCTTCTATGCCTTCGTGTACTTTATAGATTTTTTTCTCAATCGTCAAGGCCATGCTGCCATAAACTATGGATACTTATTTTAAGTAAATAAAAATTATTTTTAAAATTGCTTCAGAAGAAAAAGGTGGTTTGGGTTTTTTGTTTGTTATTTTAAGTGACTGACAGAACCCAAAAAACTGGCTGTGTATTCCATGATCAGCGTGGGTGGCAAACGCACGCTGTTATATTGAAGTTTTCTGCCAGGTTTCTAAATAATCAGTTTGTAATATCTAATAGGGTTTCTCAATGTGGTAATCTTTCTTTTTCCTGCAGCAGTTTCTACAGTCTAAGTGTTTTCTACTCACAGATTATAAATTATGAAATCCACGTATGTGGGCAGTGCTTTCTCGACCAGCACCCATAGTCTTACGTTCTTGCTACCTTGGGATTCTCTTGCTACCATTTCAACCACCCATAGTCACAATTTCCTTTATGTATGGGCTGGGGGGCACTGGACTAGACTAAGAGCGGGTGGTAGGGACCACGCGGAGCTGGTGCTGAGAGCAGATCCTGGGTTATGGAAGGAAGCAAGTTCGGAGGACCAGACTGGTAGGGGGAGAGGGAAGCTGGCCCAGGACAGGGCAGGGTCTAAGGACGAAAGGAGTCCGTCGAGGGATCCGAGAACCGGACAGAGGGGGTCGGGTGCATGTGTCAAGACGAAGCCCAGAACCAGCAAGCAGTCAGAAACCTGGGCACGCACAGATGCCCACCAAGTCCCGTTCTCCCTTCGCCCAGGCAAGCCTTACGATCGATGCAGAGGGTGACACTCCGGTGGTCGGTCTGAGTCAGGGACCGGAATGCAGCGCGCAGACAGCCAAGGCGCCGGGAGCCACACCGTAACATCGTCACAGCTGTTCCCAGTCTGAGTCCCTGGACCAGCTTGCCCAGGTCAGAACTTGCAGTTCGTGACCCTCCCCGTGGCACCCTGGGAGTTGTAGTCCATCAAGCCCTTAAAGCGCGAGCTCCAGGAGGACTACTGGGGTGCTGGGACCACAGTTCCCAGAGAACCTCGGGGCGGCGCCAAAGAGTTGTATCTTCTACAAAGTACGCGAGGGCGCGCTAGTCTCCTCAAGGCATTCTGAAGATCCACCTGACAGTGCTTCTTCAAAGGTCTGGCTGGTGTGTTGAGAGAGTGATGGAGGAAAAAACCGAATAAGGGACTAAGGAGTGTTCAGGGGCAAATGCGAGATGGAAAGGGCGCAGATAACGAAGGGGAGGATTATAATGGCCTGATATGATTTTTCTTCACACGTCTCGGGCCTTTTAGGCTTCCTTGCCTCCATCTTGCACCGTGCAGGCTGTGGAAGACAAGAGTTGCTTCTTGCGCGTCCGGTTATCTTCAGCCTCCTGCAGAGAGAGCATGCCGAGAACCCGGAAGAGGCTAACTGGGGCTGCTGGCCCAGGTGAGCCGCACCTAAGCTGCCAAAGGCAGCGGGGGAAGAACGTTTCTGTAGGGAATGCATTGTTCCTTCTTCCACTTCCTGATTTTGGAGGGAAACTTTGAAGGTTGTTACTTACTGTCACCTTTATTCTTTCTGCAAAACTTCCACTTAAGTCTTTACCTCTTGTTCGTCCATTCAGAAAAAAAAAAAAAAGCACTAAGGATATTTGCAGTACTGTGCTGTGGTAGCCCACGCACGTGGGGGGTTGCCTTGAGTTCAAGACCAGCCTGGTGACATAGTAGTGAGCACCACGCCAGCACTACACAAGCAGGACCCTATCTCCAAAAATGTGTGTGTAGAGATAGATAGCTTTTCCACTATGGGTGAAAACAGACTATATTTTTAAAATTAGATTTATCAACTTTTTATCTACACACACACAGTGTATTCAGAGATTAACTTGTAGGAATCAGTTTCCCCTTTCCACCTAAGCCACCGTAGCAGCCCTTAGATCATTCTTCTGATGAAATAAGCCAGACAGGGGAAGTCGTGCGTGGTTTCATGTGAAATGTAAAAACGCTAAAAGCTAGAAGTAAAAGGAAGATCAGTCCCAGATAGTCCTTGACTACATAGAGTTTGAGGCCAGCCTGGGCTACAGGAGACCCCACCCCACCCTTTACCCTCTACCCCCAAACACACACAATTTGCTTTTCCTAGGTTTTTAATCTTATCAACCTGTTAATTTGGAATTGCTAAATAATTGAGGACGACCTGAATTCCTGATCCTTTTGGCCCTACCCCCAAGTGCTTTCGTTATAGGTTTGATAAATTATCTAAAACAAATCTTAAGTCTGGACAATGTATTTCAGAGACAACCATAGTTGTCTTATCCATAGTTATTGCTGAGACACTTAGCGCAGCTGACAAGCCCTGTCTGCTCTGGAGCTTTTCTGAGGTCCTTCCTTACCTTAGCTTGTGTCTCTGCTCACTTCTCAGATTCTGTGTACTTGTGCCACAGCCCAAGTGCTAGTGCCTAGGAGTCGGTTCTCTTGTCAGATGGGCCTTACGGGCTAGAAGTCAGGTCATCTGGCTTGGCAGCAAACGCCTTTCCTGATGCACTAGCATCTGTCTCTTAATGCCTGTGCTTAATTTTATGTTAAACCCCTTTCCTGTTTTGAGACAGACCTCTGTAGCCTAGTCTGGCCTTGAACTTGTAGCAAGGCTCCTGCTTCAGGCTCTAAAATTCAGAGATTACAGACATTAGCCAACATGCCCAGCTTTAAATCTTTTAAACTCCAACTTGGCATCATTCTCACTGGCCTCGGAATCCTCTTGAGTGCTGTACGAATCCCAGGTCGTGCGTTAAGCTCGGGCTGCTGCAGCCAGCAACTGGCTGTATTTCCTGCTGTTGCGCACTGTGCACTGCACACTGCAGGAAAGCGGGAGCAAAGAACTTGAAATGCTTTCCCCACAACCAATCAGCCCACGAGACAGCTCATGCCTGTCATCAAGACAACTGTGTTCTAGGCCAGTCTGAGCTACAGCATGGGTCCCCCATCTCCAAAAGAAACAAAGAAAAATAACATGCGCAATGATTCCTACCTGCAGTCCCAACGCCTGGGCAGTTAAGGCAGCAGGGCTGCTGCAGACTGGAGGCCAGCCTGAGCTACAGAGCTCTGAGATTCTACCTCAAAATAGATAAATAGACGCTTCAGGAAGTATATTCAAACTGACTGAGTATTAAACAATGTATACAACATGTATGGAAACACTGTGTGGCAGTTGGTGCCTATTAAGTATGTACCATTTTTGTTTTCTGTGTCCGTTAAAATTCAATAGAAAAAGGCAATTGACTATAAGGTGAAAGCAATGAAGGTGCAGCACCTTTTCCAGGGGAAAGTGCAAACATGTATGAGCAAAAGGTCTTTAAGACAGGCTGCTGGAGGTATGGAAGGGGCGGGATCATAGGGAAGGCCTCCAGAAGGAAGCAGAATTTGAGCCCAGCCTTACAAGAATGTGAGGGTTTTCCACTAGCAAAATCCTAGAACTAAGAATACATGTCCTTTCATTTACGAAAGTGAATGTATACTGTGGATAAAAAGCAGAAATTGAGGGGCTGTAGAGATGGCTCAGCGGTTAAGAGGACAGGCTGCTCTCCCTAGAGGTCCTTAGTTCAATTCTCAGCAATCAACGATCTGTAATAAGATCTGGTGCCCTCTTCTGGCCTGCAGCATACATGCAGACAGAACACTGTATACATAATAAATAAATAAATCTTAAAAGAAATAAGTTTTTTTTTTAAAAAAAAAAGAGCAGAAATTAAGCAATGGAAGGTAGAATGAACCTCTACTAAGAACGACAGGTTGCAGGTCGATCACAACACATTGTGGTTATTTAACCACACATAGAATGCCTGTTCTTTTTTTTTTTTAATTGGAAATAGATTCTTCTCTCAGACAATACATCCCGACCACAGCTGTCCCTTCCTCTGCTCCTCCAAGCTCCCCGTCCCTATCCCCATCCACTCCCCCTGTCTCCCTTCAGAAAAGAGTAGGCCTCCAAGAGACAACAACCAAACATGAAAAAACAAGGCACAGTAAGACAAGGCAAAAACCCTCACACAGAAGCTGAACTAGGCACTGCAACAGGACTTTGTCCCAAGAGTTGGTAAGAGTCAAAGACACACCTGCTCCCACAGTTAGGAACCCCACAAAAATACCAAGGTAACAGCCACAACATATATACAGAGACCTGGTGCAGACCCCTGCGGGCTCCCCATGCTTGCTGCTTCAGCCTGTGAGCCCAGGTGAACCCTGCTTAGCTGATTCTTAGCTGATTCAGCACGCCATGTTCTCCTGGCATGCTCCATCCCCTCTGGCTCCTACAATCTTTCCTCCCTCTCTTCCTTGTGGTTCGCAGAGTTCCAAGAGGAGGGTAGAGACCTTCTGCATAATGTCTGGCTTTCTGGGTCTATGTACCCACTTTCATCTGCCTCCAGGAAGCCTCTCTGAAGCCTCTCTGATGACGTCTGGAGCAGGCACTAATCTATTTTTTTTTAAAGATTTATTTATTTATTATGTATACAGTATTCTCAGTATTCTGTCTGCATGTGTGCCTGCAGGCCAGAAGAGGGCATCAGATCTCTTTACAGATGGTTGTGAGCCACCATGTGGGTGCTGGGAACTGAACTCAGGACCTTTGGAAGAGCAGGCAATGCTCTTAACCACCGAGCCATCTCTCCAGCCTGACACTAATCTATTAGTATGGCTGGTCTTAAGGAGAGCTGGGAAATTGTGCTAAGATAACTAAGTTCAGAACATCATTCATAATGATATTTAATGAAGACAGATGCAGTAGCAAACTAAATTCTGAGGTAACAGAGTAAGTTAACTGTAGGTTAACACATACCCAAGTGACAGTCATGACTCAATTCAGGGCTTCGTTCTACCTGGTTGGATTGTGATCTACAGCACATGGTTCAGGTGGATGGGACACCTCCGAGGCTGTATCAACTTAGGGCTGGGGCCTGACATGCTGAGTGACGGCTGTGTCCCAAGGACATTTTCTTTCATTCATCAAGTAAAAGCCAAATTTCAGGGCTGGAGCTGGAGGTGGCACAGCACCACCTCACATATTTGAAGCGTAATTGAAGTGGGGAAACCAGGGCTGATGCTAAAGAGCTACAATCCAAGCTAATTAGGAGGGAGATTTGTTCATTCATGGCTCATCTAGACTACGGAGTGAGCTGAAGGCCAGGCTAGGAAATTTAGTGAGACAGTCTCACTAAAATTAAAAAAGAGGGGTGGGGATAGGGGTGGACTATCGTGGGTAAAGCCCTGGGTTCAGTCCCCACTACGGGAGGAAAAAGATCTAGTTTTTACCATGTCTACATGGTCCCGAATAAACTTCTCTTGGCATCTTAAAGAATCAGGCATGTACACAGCAGGAGAGAAGTATGAAATCATGCATTTATGATGAGATACTTCCTAAGTCTTTCCTTTGTATTATCAAATAATCACTGAAACAGTTTCAAGTAAGTGCTTCATTTCCTCATTGGAAAGTATAGTCAGATTAAAGGCACAGAGTCGGGGCGGAGCACACTTACTGATTATTGCTAGTATTCTTTAATCTTAACCCCACAGGAGTAATTACTTCATTGAGTAATCTAGAAGGTATCCTGTAAGAGGGTATTCTTTTTTTTTATTGATTACATTTCTTTGACAATTTCACAAATGTACAGAATGTAAATGGACCATTTTGTAAAAGTAAAAAAAATGTTTTTTGTTTGTTTTCTGGGACAGGTCTTCTCCGCGTAGCCAGGCTGTTCTGAAACCCATTCTTCTCAAACTCAGAGATCCACCTGCTTCTGCCTCTGCCTCCCAAGTGCAGGGATTTAAGGCGTGTGCCAGCACTGCCCAGCAGCTTTTAAAAGTTTTTAATGTTTTATTTTCATATTATATGTATGCCTATGCATCACACTCATCTGCAGAGGCTAGAAAGGGTGTTAGAGCCTCTCGG